TTCCTAAATTGTGGCATGCGTACCCCTGGGGGGTATGCAGAACAAACTGTGTAACAGCAATTTAATTTTTGGTATAATAATAATTGGCATTTAAGGAGTTAAAATATTCTGGTTGGGGTGCGTGAGCAGCTGGTAAATCTGGAAGGGGGCACTCAGTAAGAAAACGTTTGGGAACCTCTGGTGTAGAGAAAGGCAATGAAGGTGATCGGGAGTATGAAAGGGCTTCCATATGAGAACAGACCGCAAAAGCTCAGTCTCCTCAACTTGGAAAAGAGGAAATGTGAGAGAGAGCTATAAAATCATGAATATTGTGGCAAAAGTCAATAGGATCTTTCCTGTATCTCATAATACAAGAGCTGAGTGCAGCTGGTGACTGTAGTGGGCAAATTGAATTATGCTAAGACTCGTAGCCATAGTTTAGGCCTTTCCGAAACTGAGCAATAACATTTTACGAAGTGCCTTATAAGGCAATGGGAAAAGTGAGTGCTGTGATTGGTATGGTAGGCGAACCAGGCATAAGCAGATTAACGGACAGGCCAGCTGGGCCTGGGCCCACAGGCCACTACTAATTGGGGCCCCTAGGATTCTCATCAGCAGGGAAGCAAAAAACATGGTTTTAAAATTGGCACCATTTTTGTCTCCTGACGGGGAAACACCAAGTTTAAAACCATGGCTTTCACATGTTTCCCTGAGCTGGAAGCAGGGCCCCTCCACGAATGGGGTGCGTTTGGAAGGCCAGGGCCAGGCCAGGCTGGGAGCACCACACTGCACCTTGGAGTGGTAGGGACAGGCTGGAAGCAGCACACCATGTATCTACAGGTGGGCGGTGGTGCTGGGGAGAAGTTTGGGAGGCTATAGCCCTCCCAAAACTCATCTTAACCCCCTGTAGCCACCCCTCCTAGCGCCGCCACCCGCTCACAGAGATAGCATGGTGCTCCCAGTCAGCCTGGCCCTGTGCATCTGTGGGGCCACATGGGACACAGCCAGGCAGCAGCTCCCTCCAGGTAAATCTAATAGGGGCCAGGCGGGGAAGTAGACAGAGCTGAGGACAGCTCATGGCGGGGGGGGGCTGTCTCCGAGTGATCGAGGGTAGGAGAGAGGGGAGGTCCTGTGAGGGGAAAGTGTGTGTCTGGGTGTGCGTCCGATGCTGCAGGGAGAGGCTGAGCCAGCTCAGAAAGCTCCTGCGGGGGGGGGGCAGGAGGCCTCCAATTTTCCCCTTGCCCAGAGCCCCAAAAGTCCTTAATCCACTTCTGGAACCAAGTATAACTGTTTCCCTAGCAGGAAACATAACCAAAAACTGGTGTACCTTATCTAAAAGATAAGGTATGGAACCAGAAGATTGGACAATTTGGGATGAGAGAGTTACAGAAGTAATAAACAAACAAAGGAAAGGGGTGTGTCCATGCTGTGACCCTGGGGAAACAGAGGCAGCTGTGCTTTCTTTGCTCAAACAGAGGCAAAGCAGGAAACAAACATCCCACACACCCAGTGGAAGACCCAAGGCATGGTACCCCTGAAGGTCACTGCTGAAACGTCCAAGTAACGTTTGCCAGGTCATATTGTGGGGAGAAAACCTGTAATAGTGCCTAGAGGTTAATATTAAAGTTTACTTGACACCAAATCAGATGAGTTGCCATGTCAATCCTTGAGGGGCTCAGGCAAAAAGAATTCTATTGGTAATAGTGACATAATAAGGCAGAAGGATTAAAACAAATGACAATTTAAAAAAAACGCACAATGAACATGTGGAATTCATTACCACAGGATCTCATGAGGCCAATTGCATCCATGGGTTTCATTTTTGGAGGACAGGTCCATTGGGGACCGTTAAGCACAATCATTAGGGAGGCAACTGACCCATGGCCCCGAGGAGCATAGAATTGGGGGGG